TCTCTCTCTCTCTCTCTCTCTCTCTCTCTCTCTCTCTCTGTTCCATCTCTTCCATTTCTATAAAAATTTTTATTAATACGACATGTACGTCTATTTACGTCCAAGACAGATATATATAAAAATATTTCTTTCAACAATAAAATTTATCGAATAAATGATTAACAAATTATATAAATTCTATTTAATATTATCTTATTTAAAAAAAAAAAAAAAGTATTTGTGTATGTGTGTGATAACAATAGTTTTACGTAAAAAAAGATTTTTATTCATTTATTAAAGTTTTGAGAGATTCCTACCTTATCGGCGAGACTCTTGTTACCGACTGAAACTTTTATCCGCCTTCTAGTGACCAAAATTGGAAACAAAGTAAAATTGATGTTACTCTGTTGGAATTACAGTAAATTTTCTTGTTCACTTATCATGAGAGATGTAAACAATTAATTAGAATAATAATTTTATTGAAATTCTTTTATACATAAATTTAGGTAACTCTATAATTTTATTTAAAAGGAATAATATTTTTGATATGTATATTTTTAAAAAATATTTGATTTATGTTGCCTCATATTTTATCGGAATACAAACATGAAAATATAATATATTTCCTGTTATCTTTAATATTTATATAAATATATAAAAGTCAATAAAAACTACTATATCTAAACGATTGTTTACTTATTGGTGATTTTATAAAATTTTTAAAAAATGATAACGATCCTGAATTAATATAATCGTAAGAAAAGATAAGAAATATATCTAAATTATAAATTATTATCTATTATAGATTGCTAATAAACAAGGAAAAATGTAAAGTAGTTTTACGAAATATAAATATCAAACATTTAATGAAACTAATTTAAATAAATAATGTTTCCTCTTAATGAATCACCAAACTTTTTTCATTTCAATGACTTATCGTATTTATAAAGATACTAAATAATACATTAGTAGTGAGCGTGATAAATGATAAAAAATGACGCAAAAGTGAAATATACGCCGCTGCTATATATATATGTATATGGTATTTCTATTGAATTGATCGTTTATGTATCGCGTCGTTTTTAGCCAATAAGCAACCGCCACATACTTAGAGGAAACATTATCGACCAATGAGAGTACAGTAAAGAATTAGATTCATAAGTGTGATACTACTTGCACGCAGTAGTATACTCCTGTTGCATCAGGCAACATAACAGAAGGGTCTTTAAATTTCATTCGCTTGTTATGTCTTGTGCCAGTCGGGGTTACGTACTTGAAAGGACAGGTTCGAATTGTAAAGTTGGGTTAAATTAAAAAAAAGTGTTAATTGTATTAGTAATTGATACACATATGGATGAATATGAGTGCATTGAAGAGCGTAGTCATTGCATTTCCTAAGGGCTTTTCAAAAAGCTCTACCATTGTGCCCACCAACGAGCTTGTCAGATCGGTTTCTAAATTGGATCTTTCTTCGTTTTTAACCAACAAAATGGATATGGATATTACGATGAAAATACCTAAACAGGAAGAACTTCAAGAAGATGTTGCATTCTTCAAACCAGATGTTTGTAATGGTAGAGGAAAGAAACGTCGACTTGATCATCTTACATGGGAAGAAAAATTACAAAGAAAGTATGTTGATTGATGTATTTAATTTCAGACACACACACACACACACACACACACACACGTTTAAATATAAATGAATTGAATTAAAATATTTAAACAAATTTGCTTATTGTTTGTATTTCATTTTATTTAGAAAATTAAAAAACAGAGTAGCAGCACAAACGTCGAGGGATAGGAAAAAAGCGAAGTTGGATGAATTAGAAGAGACGGTGAGAATTTTGAAACAGAGAAACGACGTGTTAACCCAAGAATGTGCTTTATTAAAGTCGCAAAACGAGTTGCTTGTCAGCGAAACCAAAAAATTGAGGATAGAGAGAGAAACAAGTAATATGAGCGAGCAACTATGTTCATCGTGTCAGGCACGCGTCGGTTGTCCTGTACCTTCACTGGGATCTGCCGTATCTCCACAAAACCCTCTGCCGCAGGGTGGGACAGTACAGTCGATGTCGTCCCTGACACTAACACCAGGAGCAACCATATTACTGAAAATTATGACCCTCTACCTCCTCTCGAGGAATTATTTGGAGATCTCCAAGGGGATGATTACATCGACAGACTCGATGAACTTGCGGAAAGCCTTCTTCGAGAAGTTACCACAGAAATGGAAACAAATACTCATAGATCAGATGAACAAGTGAGTTTTAATTAAGGAAAAATAAAATTTATATATCCGTTTGAGAAATCATTTCTTATAAACGCGTAACAAATCWTATATTACTTTTATTATCGGATCTTCCAGAAATGGATGAATTTATTCTAATAAATATATTACTCTATGTGAAAGACAAACTATATTATATTGTAATAGTATTCATGGATATTATATAAAAAAAAAGAAAAAAGAATGTTCATCCATTTCTAGTCTATCTCTATATCATTTTAATTCAGTTTTTTCTTCATTAATAATAAATTTATTATCTCGTTAGGTTTCGGCCGAAGGAAATACCATTAAAAAATCTGACAATTCAGAAAGAATGGTGGGGGAGACATCAAAAAATGTGGAAACCGATACAATCGATGATAGAAACTTAAATAGTAATAATTCTTGGCGTTCTAACTGTAGTTCAGATGTTGTACGAATTGTTCCGGATAATTCACGAATAACAACACCGATTGTTATTAAAAATGAGATAGATGTTAAACAAGAGCCGGATATAAATGATATGGAAACGGTATATGGTACCTATGACGAAACTACCAATTCTATAACCGTTATTTATCCCGGTCAAGGAGATAATATAGCCATACAAGAATGCGTAGAAGAAATAAGTAGTTGTGATAATGCTTATCATGTCGATGATGTAACATCTATGACAATGCATCATTCTTCTTCAGATCAATATTCACCCGCTTACACCTGCACAGACACTATGTCACCTTCGAGTATATGTTCAGATAATGTTGATGCATCGTTTTCTTCGAGCAAATCAGATGCACATTTTTCGGATGGTGGTTATGAGTCTCACGGTTCCCCTAGTCCAGATATATATAAGAACAATAATAATAATAATAACAACAACAGCAGTAACAAACATAATAGTATATGTTTAACAGATACTTGGCATGAGAGCTTCACAGAATTATTTCCAATGTTGCTTTGAAATTAAAAAGCATTATTTAAAAATAGACATTTTTAAATTTATTGTTTCATCTTGAAATTCATTGAGAGAAAAACAAATGATGAATGAATTGAATTTTTTTTTATTAATTTAATTAATTATTTATTGCATATGTTTTATGTATGCATATTGTATAAAAAAGGAAAAAGGTGTTAACAAATATAATTCCATGTAATTTATTGAATAATAGATATTATAGGTATTAGAAAATATTATGTGGGAAAGTGAGATTCTATCTATATTTTTTATATAAATTTGTAAAAGAAAAATAATTTCTCTTTTGATTTATAGCTTTTATATTTTGTAAACATTAGATTTGATAATTACTTTCACCGCATCGTGTACATTAATTAATATATATTGAATAATATATTTGTGGATATAAATATGTAATATTTATTATGAAATTAATTAAGAAAATTTACTTATTGTCAGATAATTTGCCAAATAAAAAATCATCTCTATTATATTTTTCATGTCAATGAACCTTTCTTTATTAAATAAATTAATTCGCATTAGATCATTAAAGTTAAGTAAGATGAAAACAGGGTAAATATACTTGGATGGTTGATTTCTTTGAAATCGTACGTGCTGGTGACTCTAAACAGGTGATCAGAGGGTTTCCATGAAATTATTTCATTTATACATTGAAATATTTTTACACAAAAAGATAAGATTTGTGCGTTGTAAAGAAGAAAATAATCAATTGTAATGTTTTTGTAGCGAATGCATGTAGTATATTTTTGTTTACTTACATATTTTCAACTATTTAATATTATTATCAATATTATTATTATTATTATTATAATTATTATTATTACATCGTCTTACATGTGTTACACATACGTTTGTATGTTACAAATTGTCAAGAAAGAAAAAAAAGTGTATCATGCACACTTACTACTACACAACGTTAATCCTCGATGATATAATTTGATCGATAAAAATTAAACGCTTTGCAATTATTCGATCGTTATTTGCAATAACAACAATAAAAGATAACAATTTAAAAAGATAATAATAATTAATTTGATAAGATTAAAAAAACGATAAAATGTTAATATCGTTGCATTTATTCGGAATTAATTTGCTTTTTTGCTTTTTAACTGTACATAAATATTATTTCATTCATTAATAAAATTATGAAACTTAATGGTTTCTCATCAAACATTGTTCTAATTTTTTTCTTTTTTTCTTTTTTCTTTTATATGTATAAATATTTATATAATTACAAATATTTCACATAAAAGTATATCATTAATTGAAAATAAAACAAAAAAAAGACAAAAAGAAATTAGTTAAAACGCGATTATATGGAATTTTAGCACCCATTATTTCATTTCTCTTGTTTCTTATTTTTCTTTTTCTTTTTTTTTTCTTTCATTATTTCTTATACATTTATAATGCAAATTCAAATATCGTATTTTTAATCAATGTCGTCCTCTCTTCATTTAAAATATCTATGCACTTATTTCGTGTGTTCCATTTACGTATGTATGTTGAAGTGTATGTGTATGTATGTACGTCAACATTTTAAGCATTGGAAGGACAATAATACAAATAGTATTATCTGTCGATAAAATCTACTAAATTTATTTTTCATTATGAAATAGAGAAGGAGAGAGATGTAATAAAAATTGTTACGAAACTAACATCTACTTAATTTTCTAATTAAGAATTAAAAGGCGTATCAAAATCTTAAAAGGCTGTATCAAGCTGTAGCAAAAAGATTAATTAACTTTTATCATCATCTTCTTCTTCTTCTTCTTCATTTAATCTAATTCGTATATATATAGTTATATCAATGATTCGAATCTACTATTTTCACTTTATAATTATTATACGAATGATTAATTCTTCGTATGAGTTTCCCTTTTCTTTTTGTTTTTCCTCAAATGGTACCTTTATTTTTTTTTTCTCTTCTTTTTCCCCAGGATAAGATCTCCATTATAAAAAAAAAAAAAAACAGCCTTTCGCTCTATCACCGTATAAATAACGAGAATGTTAACAATATTTATTTATTTATAAGACGATTTTATCCAAAAAGTTTGTCAAAGCACCCATGGCAGTATGGTTTATCGTTTTGTTCCTTAAATGTACCCTTATTCAATTGTTTTAAACAAAATGCACAAACGAAGTGCTCTGGATGGAATTTTCGGAACATGGCAGTTATACAGCGTCCTGTAAATTTACAAAACAAAAAAAGAAAATAACAAAACAATTTATAATAATAATTTATAATTAAATTAATATATTTTGTATTGTGTAGCATTTATACCTGTTATTGGTTTATGACAACCAGCACATAGTGACCCTCTTTTAGCATGATAATGTGTTTCGCAATAAGGTAATCCTTCGTGATCGAAAAAGGACCCTCCCTGAAACTTTTGCCTGCAGTCCTGCAAAAAATATCAATTTCATTTTTCAATATATAAATAGTATACTTTTATAGATAAATTCAATTATTTCAATATAAATATATTGTTCTATGTAAAATCAACTCCAGGATCGTTTGTATCATCAATTACAGGAAATCCTGTATATACGGAAAATGATGGGGGTTGAAAAGTTTTAACCCATAAGAAAAAAAAATAAATATTTCTTTTTTTTTTTAAATAAAAGTTAATTCAATCGAAAGAGTAATTGTTTCTACGTTAGGCTCAAAACTTTTCAACCCACCAACGTATATATTAGAAATTTCCACTCATTGTTATTCACAACAGATTTTTTTATAATTCAAATATTTATAATTAAAATAATGAAATTAATGATAAATAAGACTCTGAAAATGTACAATAAATATTTCAGTTTACTATCACACTCGTAATACTTTTTTTGTATGATCCAAATATATTTCTTTTTTTTATAAAGAAGTAACTTTATTTTCAATAACAATAATTATGAATAACAATGTGATAAAATTCTATCATTTATATTTAATAAATATATATATATATAATTATGTATATTATTATTTTATTTATATTAT